GAGAGAGAGAGAGAGAGAGAGAGAGAGAGAGAGAGAGAGAGAGAGAGAGAGAGAGGCACTGATATTGATATAATGGTTTATGAGACTGTGAATGAAGATGGCGTTGATTGTTCTTTGGCAGTAGTTTCTGGCTCTGTTTTCCTCAAGTTGCCGATTTGTCATTGCATGGAAACTGATGTGGGAAGACCCCAAGGACTGCTCATGTGAAGCAACACAGTGGCTGCCATCTTCTCTCCCTTTGGCTATGAGGTTGTTTTCGTTTTTTTCCCCGATTTGAGTAATCAGTTCCAATTCTTATGCCTCACTGTATGTTGTGAGGCAGAGTGTTGTTAGAGGATGGGCTGAGTTTCACTGTTAAACATGAAAAAGAGTCAGAATTTCAGAAAAGCCAAAATAAAAAGGAAATCACTGATCAGTGGAAATAGCCTCAGGAACGGTGTGCAGCAGAAAATCCTGATTTTTTATGCTTTCTATACTGTTACGATCCTGGCTATTCTGAAGTGCAAATACACAAGGAAAGACAATGCCATTCGATTGCAGAAGAAATGAAAGAACTTGGAAAGAGAAAGAGACAAAGGAAGAAGAAGAAAAAAGAAAGAAAGAAAGAAGAAGAAGATGTACACCAGCAAAAGGCCAATGACAAATCCCCCTTCTCTCCCCACTCACGCCGACCTCCTCAACTCCCCCAATCTTATTCTTCAGTAAATAATAATAATAACAACAATGAATGGCTGAAGCAGAACCAATCTCTGAATCTCACTCTTACTGACAGCGCTACATGAGGTCCACTATAGCAACGACCTTCATCTTCAACCACCACTGGGGTCCTGCCCCGATGTTCAAAAGACAACGCAAAAGCAAATATGTCCTCTGCCACTCAGGCCGCCATGCCTGACTCTGCCCTGAAGCCTTCTTGATGCAGTGCAACCCCTACTGGGGCCTTCCAGGTGCAGCGCCTACCAAGGAGGTGAAGTTGACGTCCACCATTGTCAGGTATGTACATCCAACACTTTCCTCCTCACGCCCTTCTTCCGCCACCTCCTACTTGGTCCTGTCTACCATCGTAGAGGTGGAAGGCTAGGCACTCCTTCGAGTGCTCTAAACTAGCACTGGTCCACCCAACGCTCCAGCAGCATGACACCCAAACTTGCACACCGCAAACGAGGAAGAGGAAGTCGCTCTTCCTGGAGATATAGCGGGCAACTTGCCTATTGGGAAGCGACTTCCAGGCCGCACGGCCTCCTAAGCAACCGGTACCATCCTCCTTTTGGAGGAAAACATCATTGCAGGTCTGATATCGTCCGCTACAGGCCTTAGCGTCAGACTTCTGGACTGGTACCCTTGACCTAGGCCTACCGGACTCCTAAAATTCACAGGGCCTCAAAAGGTAGCAACGTTTTGCCTTTCTTCTGCCAGCCTACCACTACTCAAGTGCTATCCTAACCTACGCGGGCCTACACTGCCACTACTCAAGTGCTATCCTAACCTACGCGGGCCTACACTACCGCTACTTGGGTGCTGATATGAAATGGTGTGTTATAGCGCAGTGGAAGATTTAGATACAAGTCCTGACCTGACCGGGACTGACCTCTTTCACGTAGTACAAGATAGCAAAGCAGAATGCTAGAATACTAAGGACTAGCCCACTCACTGTTTCAACGCAGACCAAACATACATCATGCTCATCACAAGGTGTGATAGGGCCTGGCGCTATACAAAGGAGGCGCCAGGTCCAGACATACACAGACGAAGAGGAGGGGATCAGACAAAGAAGAGGAAGGGGGGAGATGGGAAAGTCGTCAACACCAAGTCTCGTTACAAGTCCCAAATAATCCCTCTTCAAAATGTCTGAAGTCCAATGTCGAGTCTGGGTCCAAATGTCACCAAGCTCTCTCTCTCTCTCTCTCTCTCTCTCTCTCTCTCTCTCTCTCT